ACGCGACGCGATGTCGGCCGCCACGCGGTACGTGCCGCACTCGGAGCAGACAAAGACGCACTATGAGCGGTTCCTGAGGGACCTGCGGCGCTGGCTGCCGCCCGGCCTCGACGAGGCGATTGGCGAGATCGCGGAGGAAACGCTCTCCATTGTGGGTCGCGCCGGCGCCGGCGCCGCCGCGGGGGGCCCCACGCAGCTGCAGCAGCTGCGGAAGCAACTCGAGGCACTCTTCGACACCCCGTTGAGCGCGGAGGCGCTGCACGAAGTGCTGCAGTACGGCCGCCTCATCGACGACTTTGTCGTGGCGGCGGAGGAGGAGGCGGCGGCGGAGGGGCGTGAGGGAGGCGCCAACAGCGTGGGCCGCCGCGGGGGGGACGCCGCCGCCGCCGCCGCCCCCGCCTGGGGCGATGGACTGGGGGACCCGCTCTTCCTGCAGCAGCAGCAGCAGCAGCAGGAGGGCGAGGAGGAGGAGAACGACGCGGAGGACTCCTCCGACGCCGACGCGGAGGGGGCCCGCGACAACCGACGGGGCTTAATGAAGTTTGCCGCGGACGTGGAGGGGCTCACGGCCAACGACGACGACGACGACGACGACGATGGCGCGAACGGGGACAACAACAACGGCGCTACTCGGGTGCCACGCGTGACGTTTGAGGAGGTCGCATGCAACCCAAACTACGTCCGCGACTCCCTGCGCCGGCTGTTCCCCACACAAACGATCGAGGAGTGCGAGGTTCAGGCGGATCGCGTGCTGCAGTATGCCGGGCAGCGGTCGGTGGACCAGCTGACGCTTGAAACCCAACTCACCGCGTTCCTCGGCGGCTACGACGATGAGGCCGTGATGGAGTGGATTGCCACCGTCGCCGCCTCGCGCTGGGCGATTGTGTACGGCATGCAGTTTGCCGATGGGCAGAACCAGCGGGAGAAGCACGCCGTTATGGATGCCATGAAGGCACACGCAAAGCAGGACCGCCTCGTGGAGCGGTTGTATCAGAGCGTCACTGGCAAAGAGATTGGGCCCAAGACCGACAACGACGAGGAGGAGGATGGAAGCCGTGGCGAGCTGAAGCCACTACGCCGGGTTGATTTGGAGGCCTACGCGTTTAAGGATGAAAGCACGCCGCATCGTCTGACGCGTGCGGTTGTGCCACAAGGCACCCAACGAGCGGTGTTCGAAACACACGATGAGGTGATACTTCCGCCCACGGCAGCCGCTACCGGCGAATACGCCTGCACACCCCTGAGTGCCTTTCCGGCGTGGGCGCAGGTGACATTTCCTGGTGTGGCACAACTCAACCCCATGCAGACCAGAACCTTTGGGTGCGCCTTTGGGAGTGACGAGAACATGTTGGTGTGTGCGCCAACCGGGGCAGGGAAGACAAATGTGGCGATGATGGCAATGCTGCGGACCATCAGTAATGCCATGACGCCCAGCGGGGCCATCCGGCTGCGTGAGCTGAAGATGGTCTACGTGGCACCGATGAAGGCGTTGGTGCAGGAGGTGGTACGCACCTTCGCTAAACGCCTCGAGCCACTTGGCCTAACCGTCACGGAACTCTCCGGTGACTCCAACGCGAACCAGTCCCAGCTAAACGATGCGCAGCTTATCGTAACAACGCCGGAAAAGTGGGATGTGGTGACGCGTAAGTCGGTTGAGCTGGGCGTGGCATCACTTCTGAAGCTGCTCATTCTGGATGAGGTTCACCTGCTCCACAACGAGCGTGGACCGGTGTTGGAGGCGATTGTGGCAAGAACTATGCAGCAGCAGCAACTTCGTGGTGAGGCGGGGATTCGTATTGTGGGGCTAAGCGCCACCTTGCCCAACTACGCGGATGTTGCGAGTTTTCTGCAGGTCGACCGACAGCAGGGTCTGTTTGTGTTTGACAGCTCCTTCCGCCCAATTCCGCTGCAGCAAACCTTTTGCGCCATCAAGAAGGTGCGGGGGACGAACCAGGTGGCTGTGATGAACCTGGTGGCGTACGACAAGCTACTGCGGGCGGCGATGAACGGGGAGCAGTCGATGGTGTTTGTGCACTCCCGCAAGGACACCGAGTACACCGCCATGTACATGATACGACGCATCGTGGAGGAGAAACGGACGCAGCACTTTGTGCGTCCAGGCAGCGAGTCGGAGCAGCTGCTGCGTGAGACGGCAAATAACCCCTCGCTGCCGCTTCGCCCGAGCTTGCAGCAAATGCTCCCCATGGGCTTCGCCGTGCACCACGCCGGCATGAGCCGTGAGGAACGCGAGGTGGTTGAGACGCTCTTTGCAGATCGGCACGTGCGTGTGTTGGTTTGCACCTCAACCCTCGCCTGGGGCGTGAACTTGCCGGCGAACCAAGTGATCATCAAAGGCACCCGCGTTTTTAACGGTGCGAAGGGCGAGACAGAGCTACTGAGTGCGCTGGATGTTTTACAGATGTTTGGTCGTGCGGGGCGTGTGGGGTTCGGCGCGGCGCTGGGAAGGGCTGCCGTCATCACGAGCCCCGACGACCTGCACTACTACCTGAGCGTGCTCAACGACCAGCTTCCCATCGAGTCGCAGATGATGCGGCGGCTGATTGACATGCTCAACGCGGAGGTGGTGCTTGGGCACATTGGCAGCGTCGCGGAAGGGGTGCGGTGGCTGCAGCGAACATATTTGTACGTCCGAATGCAGCGGTCGCCGGAGCTGTATGGCACGCGGGCCAGCAACGCCGACCCGCTTTTCCTGCGTCACCTGGAAAACATTGTGCACACCGCCGCGGATGACCTCCGCCGCTGTCAGCTGGTCGACTACGACGCCCACGCCCGCCGCATCTCCCCCAAGCCGTACGGCCGAATTGCCTCCTACTACTACGTCACAGCCGCCTCCATGACCACCTACCTCACCCACCTCGGGCGCACAATGCACGACGTGGACTTGTTTCGCCTTTTTGCCATGTCAAAGGAGTTTGCACACATTCTTGTGCGGCCTGAGGAGCAGGCGCAGCTGCAGTATTTGCTGGAAAACGCCCCCATCGCCGTCCGGGAAAGCCGCTACACCCCCTTGGCGAAGATTAACATACTGCTGCAGTGCTACATCAGTGGTATGAGTTTGCAGGGCCTACCGCTGATGAGCGAGCTCGTCTATGTGAAGGACTCCGCCCAGCGCATCTTTCGCGCCCTGCATGAGATATGCCTAGTCCGCGAGTACGGCCGCACTGCGCAACAGGTGCTGCAGCTGTGTCTTATGGTGGCACATCAACAGTGGACGGTGCAGTCGCCTGTGCGCCAGCTGCGTCACACCGTCGCCCCCAAGAGCTTCGCCGCCTTCATTCACACACTAGAAAGCCGGCGTGTTTCATGGGAGGAGGTGCGGGCGTGGTCCCGCGAGGACCTCGCCGAGAAACTGAGCGACGAACGCCGCGCGGAGCTGGCGTACGACTGCATTCATCAGGTACCACACTTTTCTTTGGAGGCCGTCGTGCGACCTCTCACCCGTAGCATGCTGTACGTCGATGTCGACATCACGCCGGATTTCACCTACGTCGAGGAGCTGCACAGCCAGACGGCCGGGGACATCCTCCTCACGGTTGAGCACACCAACGGCCGCATCCTGCATCATGAGCGGCTGCACCTGACGCGGGAGACTCTGCGCGGCGGCGAGCCACACTCCGCCCCAACGATTGTGGTGCCCATTGTTGAGCCGAAGCCGACGCACTACTTCGTCCGCTGCCAGTCGTTGTACTGGCTTGGGGCAGACTGCTCCGTCGCCGTGTGCCTAATGAATGTGCGACTGCCCGAGATCGCCCCGCCGTTGCTGGAGATGCAGCAGCGTCCCTCCATTTCCGAGGATGAGGCGGCCCGCGACGTCTCCGCGACGCTGCAGCCGTACGGCCTAGAGGCCGCAGCGGAGAAGGTCTTCCCCTTCACCGAGTTCTTCCCGGCGCAGCGCGACCTGGTGGTGCCTGTTATGGAGCACCCC